CTTCGAGATGGATAAGCCTGACTATATTGAGGTATCCTGGGATACTGGTAGAACTTAGAGACCTTGCTAGAAATGCAAAGTACCGGGAGACCGGGAGCCTACTTGCTGGGACTGGGGTGAGTCCGTAGTACAAGCAGAATCCCAGGTACCACTTCAACATGGTCGAGTAGGTTTTCTTGGTGGTCGGGGCACATGCTGACTGCTTGTATCTGGCGGCCTCCAGGTCAAGCTGCTGCAGGTCTGAGTCCACTGGGCATGTGAAAAGGCTAAAGTATTTGCAGACATATGATGAGAGGGCCAGCCACTAAAATATTCATACAACCACTGCATATTAGATCTAAGGTGTAGGCGTGAGAGCTTATCGCAAATAGGTTTCTTCTCTCTAGGAATGTGTCTCGCTGTTATGTAAAAGCCGAGGTTAGCGGACAGCCAGAACATTGTGCGAATTATATCCATGCTTTTATCATTACGACAAGTGCCCTTATTGATACTGTACATTGTCGAAGTATTGTCAGTGTACACCACAATATGTTTGCTTCGCCATCGCCACGCCCACCTTTCCGCCGCCACGCCCAGTGCTGCTAGCTCCTCTATATTTATGTGTTCTGATGCAATGTCGGATTTATCACAATTCCAAGACACATAAAACCAATCGCTTTCGAAATGTCCGCCGCCGCCAATTTCGCATGCGTCTGTTGAGAAGGTGTGATAGCATACAGGTTCACCTTCGATGATATAGGTTATACCATTGAAAGTCTCGCAGAATTGTGACCACCATTTTATGTCCACTTTTGCCGCCGCATTTAACACTATTTGTGTTTAACTCAGCCTGCAAGTGAGGGACTGACACCTGACAAAAAGAACCCGTGCAGGGCATGCTTCCTTAGCATTGTTCGGCAGGTCCGGGCGCCGCCGGGGTTTACCGAGGTAAATGCAAATAAATATATTTGTTTAATACGGAAGGAGAAGAATATATTTTTCTAAGATTGGTTGGGTTTTGAAATATTTATAATAATCCCCCTTGGGACGTGAATCAACATTAGATTTCCAATTTTGGAAAAATTGCGCTCTGTAGATGTTTTCGACCATTGAGACAAGCGAGGGCACGCATATATATATAGAAACTAATTGTCACCCGTTGTGTTAGAAGATACCTTCATATATTGACCATGTTTTACAAAATGGTTAACAACACTACACCAAGTTACCGTAGTAACCTTGTTCCGTCTAGAGTATCAGATGTTGTTGGTTATAATCTACGCAGTTGTTCAAATCTTCAGACTATAAACTGTAAATCTGTAACTTATGCGAGGTCCTTTCTTCCAGATACTGTTAAATTATGGAATTCATTACCAGCTGAACATAGAGAATCCCCGTGCCTATCGGGATTCAAAAATGTAATTTTAAACGATTCTAACATCTACAGTCATTTTGACATACATTTCGGTAGCAGATTTTGTCAAATCATACATTCTCGTCTCCGACTTGAAAGTAGTGACCTTAATGCGCACAAATATGAAAGATTTATATCTCCAGCATTATCTTGCTCTTGTGGCCATAACTATGAAGACTCTGATCATTATTTCTTTTCATGTACTCTGTACAGAGATTCTAATTGATCTAAAACTTTTCTCAAAGGATGTTAACATTATTTACTAGGTGTTGGTATACTAATAGAGTGAATGTCACTGCTGTGTAACTCAACATGGGGTTCAGTGTCAGCTGATCTAGGTTTACTAATGCCGCTCCCAGCTTAACGAACTCTATTGTAGTAGAATAGTATTGGGTGTAGTGCAGTTTAGATGAGTGTCCAAAATGCTGTCTAATAGTCCAATATAAATTGGCTAGTATAAAATATGTAGTAGATAAAGTTAGACAGGGTTCGCCAGCGCGGGAGAGCCGAGCCAAGGGTAAGGGGTCTATAAATGAGTTGTTCATGGACTAACCCGTAAAGAACAAGCAACTACCCATCGACATTCTAAGGATAGGGAAACTCCCTTCCAGTGTACATGGGTATGGTAATCTATGCCAAAACCAGGAAGAGAAGCCTCGTAGAAATACTTCATGATCATGGCATGAGCATTTCGTTTGACAGGGTGCTGGAGATACCAGCCCAACTTGGAGATGCCGCAGTTAGCAAGTATAATAAAAGTGGTTATTTGTAAAGCGCCAGTGTCCACCCACTCATGCATGCTCATGGCGCATTAAAACTATTTACAGAAGAAAGGAAAATGTCATTATAGGCTTCAGCAAAAAGGAATGTCTTTAGGGCCTTCTTAAAAGAGTTCAGGGTCGGGGCGAGTTTGATTTGGAGCGGTAGAGAGTTCCATAAGAGAGTCGCGACATGCTGAAAACTCCTCTTTCCAAAATAGGTGAGCCGGGCTTGAGGTACCTTGAGGTACTGTTTATCCTGGGAACGTAGAGTTCTGGAAGGCACATACTTGGTTAGGAGAGATAAGAGATATGTAGGGGCAAGGTTGTTGAGACACTTAAAGACTGTACACAGAACTTTGAAGTCAACTCGGTATTGAACAGGAAGCCAGCGCAAAGAATTTATCACAAGGGTTATACGATCATATTTAAAACTCAAAGATATAATTCTAGCGGCTGTATTCTTCACTTTCTGGAGTTTTTTCATGTGTTCTTTGGATATTCCAGTGAGAAGGCTATTGCAGTAGTTTAGGCGGGAAGACACAAGGCATCTGATCAGGATATGTGCATTCTCTTTAGTGATGTATTTTCGGATGGTACCAATGGAACGAATGTGAACGTAGCATGTCTTACACAGATGATCCACTTGTGCAGAGATGGAAAGGTCCGACTGTAGCTGTACTCCAAGATCTTTAACTTGTCGTGATGGGGAGATACAGGCAGAAGCAAGCATCACTCGCTCAACAACTACCTTGTCGATGTGCTGTTGTCTTCCGACCAATGATACCTCTGTTTTGTCGTCATTTAACTTTAGTTTTCTTTCGGTCATCCATGACTTAATTTCAGAAGTACAGTTTTCAGTTTGTTGTAGGGTGTCAGAAATTGATTCAGTGTTAAATCTTTTCTTCAGTTGAACATCATCTGCATATGAAAAATGAGGAGTGCCCAACTTGTCAGTTATGGTTTTGAGACAGTTTATGTATAAGAGAAACAACACAGGTCCCAACACTGAACCTTGTGGGACTCCACACGAGAGCACTGTCTTATCCAAAAACTGTCCTAAGACATATACAGACTGCCTCCTGACATGGAGATAAGATGCAAACCAAGAGAGCACTGTTTCACTGATACCAACTTGATGCTGTAAAATATCAACCGCATCAAACGCTGTACTGAGATCTAAAAGAGTTAGGGTTGCCATGTCGCCAGAATCCACTAGACACCTGAGATCATTAACAACTCTCAGGAGCAAGGTCTCTATTAAATGTTGCGGACGATAAGCAGACTGATAGTCATCAAGGATGTCATGGGGGTTGATGTGCTTTCTCCACAAGTTTTGAAAGAAAAGTCAAGTTTGAAACGGGCTTTACTGAAAATCCATCAGCCCTGAGGATATGGATGGTATCCGGCCCTGAGGTGAGCCATCTGGTGTTCCTCTATGAAAGAAAGCACTGTCTTCACCAAGAGCAGACACCACATCCTCAGAAGACATTCCTATTAAGGGTCCAGAAAGTCTCTCAGGTCCTGCAACTTGGGAAAACCTTTCGAGGAAGTAGATTTGTTTTCAATAGACACACAAGATGTAGCTCATCCCAGCTCTGCGGAGCTTGTTCACACTCACTTGCAGAAGGGTCGCACACAATACTAAAACCTTGTGAAAAGATTGGAAGATAATCCAACATCATTCTATTAGCCCATCAGAAAGCAAAGACTTGACTTCTTCTGTCAAGATAAGCCTTTTACAGAACCATCAAAACAGAAACAGCTGAAAGAAAGCTGCCAGCTGTTTTCCAAGCTGTTCATCTCCTGTCAGATCAGGGAGTGCGACCTGCAGGAGTTCGTTCAGCACGGAAATCAATCATTCCCTGCATCTCTATGTGATGGTGGAAAGATTTATAGCTGTCACAAGTCCCAAATGACCTCCATACTTGAGAAACACATCACGCTCTCAGACCAAGAGCCAGAGACAGATGACATCATCATTGATGGTTCAGCTTTGATCCATGCACTACCACCGAAAAGGTCTAAGACATTTGCAGACTATGCAGCCCTTGACTTTCCGCCAACTATTAGTGCATATGCCAGTACATATAAGACAACACATGTTGCCTGTGATATGTACAGTCCATTAAGTCTGGAAGCAGACACAAGGTCCAAAAGAAGACAAGGAGTAAGACGCAAGGTGACAGAAAAGAATAGCGTTCCTTCAAACTGGCACAACTTTCTGAGGCACAATGACAACAAGTCGGATCTGTTTCACTACCTGGCAAACAGGATTATCCAGATGTCTGCACCAAACATGGTTATTGTGACCAAGGGACATCAAGCACTTGGCACACACAAGGTGAGTCTGACTGAACTGGACGAATGTTCTCATGGGGAGGCAGACAGCCGCATTTCAGATATGCTTCAACCCACGGGAGCAAATCCATCATAATCAAAGCCAATGACACAGATGTCCTTGTGATTGGCCAGAGTATGTTCCCAACACTGCAAAACATCGTTCTGGAGCAGCTGTGGCTCTTATTTGGCCAAGGTCAGAGCCTTCGATGGATTGGCATTCACAACCTGCACAACTCTGTTGGTCAGGAGAAGGAAAGGCATATTGTTCTTCCATGCTTTTACGGTTGTGATGTGGTGCCAGCTTTAAGGAATAAAGGGGAAAAGACAGCTTGGCAAACACGGGAATTTTCCCAGAGGCAACACCAGTATTTGCCAGACTGGGCCTGCATCCACAACCATTGAGGGTGATGACATGGAGATCCTAGAGAAGTTTGTGGTCATCATGTGCCTCGGTATGTATCAGAGGGGACAAAATCGCATATCTGAAAGAAGGAAGCTTATTGCCGAAGGTTTTGAATGCGTAACTGTTTCTGTCAGGGATCGAGACATAGTATATGCAAGGAACCAGAACTTAATACCAGAAGGTTTTGAACAAGTTACTAGCACTGTAGATGGTGTGGATGAGGCTAGACTCGACTTATTTGCCAGCAAGCAGAGACCATATGACGCCATCCCTCCAACCAGAGCAGCTCTAATGCAACACGCTTAACGTGCAGCATATCAGGCTGGTTGTGTGTCGGCTCAGGCAATTCTGAGCCAGCCGGAAGCAGCGAGTCCAGCTGACTGGGGTTCGGAGAAGATTGGCGAAGAATGGAAAACCTTCTGGACAGCCAACTCTCCCATTGCAAAGCTAACTAAGTGTGGCTGCAAGTCTGGCTGTCCTGGCAGGTGCAAATGTCTCACATACACAACCATGTGCAGTTGCAAATGTGAAGTGTAGTTTCTCTGTTATTCTGGGTGCAGTTGTTAGTTCAGGTACAATTTCGACTGTTTCTTTTGCTAAAACTGCCATTTGATTTATGTATTGTTTTGGTATTGTTATAAAAACAACTTCATTTTGTCATAAAAATTAAAATAAGTAGTTTTACTTGAATTAGTTAAAACTTACAAAGTAATTATTAGTAATTTTTAGTGTAGACGGCGGCTATCTTGGTTTTTCGCCTGGCTAATGCCCTTTTTTTTGAAAGAATGGACCCCAATGAACGTTTGTTCCAAAGTTCATGCTTTTGTGAACTATTTTTGCACTTATCTGCTCCATTATAAAGAGCCATCCTATGTTGGATTTCGATACAAATTTACACATCAGACAGATGCTCGATTGGGGACATGTCGGGGTGCTTAAGGCCCGTGCAATATCCATATGCCTTCTCGTCGTAGATATCTACTGTTCGTCAGTGAGGTGGACTTTCACTGTGATTAGATTTCGGTCCAGGAACTAGGCCATGGTATTGTTAATCTGTCCAACCAGAACAGCGACATTGAAATCTCTATTTTTGTTAGCAATATATGTTTTTATTTCCCTTTAGATAAATTAGGAGACTTTTGATTGGTTAATAGCCAAGGATCGGGTGATCAGGCTCACTCACTTGGTTGACACATGTCATCGTATCCCTATTGCATAGATTGATGCTCATGATGTTGATCACTGGGTTGTCTGGTCCAGACCCGATTATTTACAGTCCGCCGCCATATAGACGCCGAATATTGCTGTGGGCGGGGTTAAACTAGGAACCAACCAACGTAATAATAATAACGATGAATTGGTAGAGTGGTGAATAATGGAGTGGTTAATAATGGGTGAGGGACATTTCCACATTTAATGCATCACTGACAAACATCCCCATGTTGATATTTTTATTGACTTGCCTTTTCGTGTGTTTGTGATCGGTACAACCAGTAGGTTACGATACGCTCCCGCAAATACAACCTGTCTTATTGGGTCAGCAACATCCCTGAATAACACAAGTAACGATACTAATCCTGCATAATGACATGAGTCATGTGAACATATCGCTAGCGCAGCGGTAATGTAAAGCTCAATGCATAGTTAGATGTAATGTATTGTACGATCAAACAATCAAACAAGTAGTCAAACACTGTTGATGCAGATTACCTAAAACATATTGTATGCAATAGGCAGTGTGGCAAGTTTCACTCTTTTTCTTAACTGGTTGTTTTTCTTTCATTGCAAAACCGGGTCAAATTCTTAAAGTATTGCATACAATGTGGCTGTGCAGGATAAGTATACGCTCATTGGCTGTGTATCACGTGATGTACTGACGCGGCTGCCACGCATGTGTATAAGTCAATACCACATTATGTACGGCGCAGTTGGACAGACGTCTCCGTTTCATACGATCTGTGCTTGTGCCTCTGTAGGAGATTGTATTAACAGTCAAACTTCTGTGTTCATATGTGAAACTTTAACACCAGGTTTCCAGATGCCATGATACTATGTAACTATTGTGGAGATGAAATACAGCCAGATTCACCAGGTGTAAATGTGTACAACAAGGATGTGGACGTGCGTTATGTGACAAGGCAGGATTGTATACCAGTTGGTTTTGAATGTGCCTCGGTGTGTGTCAAAGGGGACAAAATCGCATATCTGAAAGAAGGAAGCTTATTGCCAAATGGTTTTGAATGCGTAACTGTTTCTGTCAGGGATCGAGACATAGTATATGCAAGGAACCAAAACTTAATACCAGAAGGTTTTGAACAAGTTACCGTGTACACAAGGAATGGGGAAGTAAAATACGCAAGACAAGGTGACAGCCACCCTACAGAATATGATCGGGTTTCAACCTATGCAAAGAATGAAGAAATAAAGTATGAGAAAGAAAGTCATCCTACCCCAATAGGTTTTGAACAAGTGACTGTGTGTGTGAAAACAGGAGACATATTATACACAAGGCAAGGAGAGCTTAAACCAAAAGGTTCTGAGCCCGCGTCAGTTTATGTGAAAAATGAGGACATAGTACATGAACAGTGTCGCCATGTAAAAGCAGTATTTCACACAGAGTGCCTGAAGTAAGTATTGCATTTTAACCAATGAATAAGCACAGTTTGATTCTTGATTTCTTGCGTTTTATTCCGTGCATGTATTCTGACATTTTTATCATTTCAGTCAATGCATTCCACGGCGTGAGGAGGCAGCTCGTCAGTTCCTGGAAAGAGCTTCACCAAAAAGCAATGTCCTGTCTATTGGGATTCATGTCAAGTACTTATTTGGAGAAGGGAGAGCAAACCCAGAGCAGAAAAAGAGAAAAAAGGAGAAGAGAGATCGTAAAGCTATTGAGTTACTGAGAAAAGTATCGGCTCTGCGGAATTCCAACTCTGGATATATACTGATTCATCTTGTTGGCCTGGCACCTGAAGATTCTTTCACTGGCGCATTTGATGAGTTTGCTGACCCCAAACTTCACGATTTGATTCAAGATGACAAACAGTTTTGTGATGTTTACAGGAAACAGACACTGAACAGTCACTATACTTGTCACGGCTTTGGTGACTTTCTCGTGCTGTATGTTGGAGCTTCTTCAACTGTAACGACTTCTAAATTCAATACGAAGACAACACTCGATGACTGCATCGAAGATATTCGTGCCGAAACGCTCAGAACATTTGTTAGGGAAAGAAAATCCTTGTGCAACACATTCCATTCACTTCCTGGTGTGACCCAGGCACATCACCTTCAGAATGTTCACGAAAACAGGTCAATTCAAATGAAAAGTCACTTTTCTCAAAAGAAAGATGATCGAGCAATAACAGAGGACATCATCAAGAATCATAAACTTGCAGAATATATCAGCGCATTTACTAAAACTGAAAGTGGTGGTTCCTTTCTTTATGGTGTCCATGAGAAAACTATTTTAAAGAAGGGATATGGTTATGAGACTAAAGTAAACCGCATCCAACCAGTCATCCTGGAGGACAGAACCGTTTTCGGGGACACTTTAGGGGATAACATTCGGAATATTGTCCTCGTCTGTGACTACGATGGAAATGACATATTCCCAGATCCAAATATTTTCCAAATTCATTTTATTCCTTGCACACCAGCGGAGGAACGCACACCAGCGGAGGAATTAGTTTATCGGCGAGACAGTGGAGAACCTGTACATGATGGACATGGTGATGAAGATGCTGTAGTTGTTCATGTTGCTGTCAGACCAGTGAGTGGGATAGTGTTCCATGACAAACAAGGACCGCTTGCATATAGATATGACAGACAATTCAAACTGATCACACGGATAGATCTCAAGGACTGGATACGTGCTCTCACAAAACGGAAAATATCTCAGCAGTAAACTGATGTAAGATACGACGGTAAGTTACTGATGTCGCCTAAAGTTCATCTTACCTACTCAAATCTGTATAACTAGTAATATGGTATACTTAGAAGATAAAGTTACTCTGTTTTCAATTTTACTGTCCTTTATCGTTGATTTAAGACCGCTAAATGTAATTCAAAAACCGAACGCGTTAGCGGTTTTAAAGTAAACATTTAGCGGTCTTAAATCAACGATAAAGGACCGCAAAATTGCCAACAGAGTAGCTTTATCTTCATTCTAGCACGACTGGTAAGCGTTTTAAAACCGGCAATATCAGACCACATCATCAACTGCCCCAATCACAACATAATTTGGGACAATGTGGAGATATTAACAATTATGGCTGAGGAGCTCTAATCTGTTGTTTTTATCAGATCATTGTATGCAGAAGGGATGAGATATCCCTGGTCTTTGTTGAATGAGGGCTTGTGTCTCCGGATTTGAACTGCTTCTGCAAGTTTCCTTTTTCTGAAGTCCTGGTGGTTTTTGGATAATATCTCCACATTGTCCCAAATTATGTTGTGATTGGGGCAGTTGATGATGTGGTCTGATATTGCCGATTTTCTATCAGATTTAGTGGTAGAGCAACTCAGCCATCATTGCTAATTAATCTCATCAGCATGTATATTTTGTTTTTACTTCCACCACGATTGGCTTCCTATTGTCACTACATTATTGCCACCGTACCTTGTTGTTATTGTTAATCCCCCTGATTCAGTCCTACATGTTGTTATTACTTAATCCCTGTTCATGTATATAAGTCTGTTCTGTGCTGTAGTACTTCACTCTTGCTTGACAACGGTATAAGAATCCATACCGAAACGTCGCATCATATATAATAAGAAGTTGTTATCCATAAACTTTCTTACTTTCTTATAAGGAATTCTTCTTCAAACTAATTGCTTTTTACTTAAAAAACACCAAAGATGCTGCCGAGATAGAAATTGCCGATGTCCGACATGTTTGTTTACAAACAATAGGGTCAACGAGATAGTTGTATTCATACGCGATGAATCGGTCACTTTAATTAGCGGTCTTAAACTACCTTTTAAGTACGGTTTGATGAGCTCTCAGCCAATCAGAATCGAGTATCACACAATGTCGTGCTAGCATCTTGGTTCAGGTGAGATTCAAGTTTGGTATATATGTTTGCTTCATGTCTAGAAAGATAATTAAAACTTGATGAAATGAAGCCTTCACAAATTGTAATATTTCAAAGGTAATTTTGATTTGACACACAATATATCGTACCTAACATTTGATAACTTGTGTGTAAAGGACGTCACAGTTTGTGAAAAGAACCTCAGAATGGTCCATCTTCATTTTCAAAGGTTCCAATTTTTTTTGGTAAGTTTCATTTCAAAGTTTGAAGTACTGTTTGATAATGACTTAAATTAAAATGCGTTCATTTTTTTACTTAAAACGAAGCCCAAAAAGTAAAATAAGGTCGACAAATTGTTAATCGTACTTGTTGTTATTTTTATATTTGTTGTTTTAAATAATGGCTTAATCTCACCACATGAAGGGATGATGTAAATCCAGCTGGGGTACATGCAGGTAGCAAAAGTAATGTAAGCCCCTATGGTCCCTAGTATGGTGATCTACCTTCAGTTGCTTGTGATCTATAGCCCGTTTTTATATTCTAATGTCCTAAATAGTGTATAATCTCAAGTTACATGCAAGTTTTAAATATCTGACTGTGAGGTTCTAGTTGTTTTACTATCCTTCACAGACAGGTTTTAAAATATAACTTTATAAATTATTCAAGTATGATATGTTGTAATTACGATAAACAAGCGAAGGAATTCAATCATATGTTGTAAATTGCCCCCCTTCACGTTTACTGACAAATGTTATTTTAGGTAATAGGGTCGCAAATGTTTGGTCCCCTGTCTTAAAATATCCAATTATATTATACGAATCATTCGTGTATCAGATCTATAAACTGTAATACACATGTAGTTATGGGGCTAACATACGACAGGCGAAACAACGTCAATGAATATCTGTGCAGTTTCCTCAAACAAAATTAAAGGTATTCGTTGAAGGTGAATGTATCAACCTTTATAAAGAAGTCGAACAAAGTGTAGTCCTCATAGTGAACTGTAGAGGACGCAATGTGTGGGACTCGTAAAGACCCGGATTAGAACTGGTTTTTAGCAACCCATGGTTGTCATAAGAGGCGAGTAACGGGATCGGGTTGTAGGACTCGCTGACTTGGTTGACACATGTCATTGTATCCCAATTGCGTAGATCGATGCTCTTGACGTTGATCAATGGATTGTCTGGTCCAGACTTGATTAGTTACAAACCGTCGCCATGGAGATGGAATACTGCTCAGTGCGGCGCGTTACACAACCAACCAACCAACATAACGCGTACGCGAGACGGTCTTCAGTAATGAGAGGGGGGGTCACTCATGCGCGTGACTGCCTGACTACAGACAAGAATTTCTGCATGTCACACAGAAACGCGATCATATTTTTCAGAAAAGTAAATTCATTACTTTCTGAAAGCTTATTCATCCTAGAAGCGAAATATACATGTAGCTTTCAAAGCAAGCGAACGCACACCTGTTTATTATTGTATGGAAACATATTAAATATATTCGAAACTGCGCAAAGCCATCTCGCGTGGAAGTGACTGGGTTAGCGAGTTATTAATGGGAGGTAACCGACGCCTGACTAAATTGTTCAGTCAAAACATGCCTCGTGTTACCTGGACTCTCTGGAGTATACATAATACGTATGGCAACGTTTATCTCGCGTTTTAAACAGTTCTTCTTTACGGCGAAGAGGATATAATACATTAATACCGTATTATGAATAACAATATCGTGTCGGTACTATATTATATTTTGTGGAAGTAAAACCATTGGAAATCACGACTGAGAGAGGGTGTCCCTTCCATTGATGTAAAAACAAAGCGCCTGGGAGTTCATAGTTTTCAGTTTGCTGTCATGTTAGTTGGTTTTGACCACAATTTTCTCTTAAGTGCAATTTTCACAGAAACACTACTTTCATACTTTCTGAAAGATTGCTCGTCAAAGACAGCAACATCGGAAATGGGGGTGAGGGACCACTTTTACCAAAAGCGTTATTTCTGGCTAATTCAGCGCCCAGCGGTGGTTTAAAAAGGAGAGTGGTGTGGTTCAGGGACATCAATCGATGTCACTGTTTACTTAAGGGATAATACAACGGTGTCCATAGCCATTAGTCGTGACACCATCACCAGCAATCAGTCGTTTCGTATCCATGGGGGACAAGGATGTTTTGTTTAATGTTATCCCGTAGATCCTGCATGCACGTGTATAATCAGGGCGACAATCACAAACTTCAGATATGCCCCTGAGACACCAATTCGCACTACCTCTTGTGAATTTCTTATGTAATCATGGTATTGTTAACCAAAATTGTACAGAGTATGACCGTAAGAGTTATGACGAAAATCAAAGTATCGAGGGTTGAGCAGAGAAATTTGTTTCCTTTAAGGTTTCGTAATATGATACATATTCACACACACACACACACACACACACACACACACACACACACACACACACACACACACACACACACACACACACACACACACACACACACACACACACACACACACACACACACACACACACACACACACACACATATATAAATATATACACACACACTTGGGCTGCGCAATATAACCGGTTTACCGGTATTTACCGGTTCAGACATGAAAACGATACGTATTGCGATATGCTGATCGAAAACCGGTATTTTGACATGCATTCGGAAAACTTCGTAACACTCAGAAATCTTCGGATATTTCCGTTTTTTGAATTGTTCTTTTCCTTGTTTCATTAGTGCCAAATGTTACTTACATTTTTATTTTCTCATGATTAAAAGTTTTTTATAAAAGGTTAATCAATCATAGTGATTTTGTTGTGTTTATGCTTTATAATCAAGCATTAACTCGATTATAAGTAGTTTTTGTTAAAAACATAATCCTTGCAATATATTGCAATACATATCGCAATATATGCTTCCGCATCGCAATATATCGCAATATGAACATTCTCTGCAATACCCAACACACACACATATATATATATATATATATATATATATATATATATATATATATATGTGTGTGTGTGTGAGTGTGTGTGTGTATATATATATAATAATCCTTGCAATATATTGACATAAGCTGTTCGATTCCGTCTTTATTCAATTTTCGTCAGTTCATTATATATATAATGAACTGACGAAAATTGAATTGAATTATAATGTGTTTCCTTAAAGGTTCTGCTTAATACCATACATATTTCACACAAAGAGACAGTATATATAGATAGATAGATAGATAGATAGATAGATAGATAGATAGATAGATAGATAGATAGATAGATAGATAGATAGATAGATAGATAGATAGATAGATAGATAGATAGATAGATAGATAGATAGATAGATAGATGAACTGCTTTCCTATACCAATTATACACCAGGTATTGTCCTTGATCATCTTTGTCAAATTAATCTCTACATGAAAGTATTATATGAAACCCTTGTCGTAATCATTAAGAATTCTCTGACATAAGCTGTTCGAATCCGTCTTTATCATGAGCATGTGTATATGAAAAATCATCAGTTACTGATGCCTCACTAAACCATCTAATCCTATATGATGTTGCATTCGATCTTTATTGAGAACGTAGTGTGGTACTGGTCGATGGAAATGTCTTTTTTACAATATTCTTCATGCCTCGACTTTTGATTATTGCAGGCAGGATGTGGGAGCTTCTGGTACGTACATATATATTTGGTACAACGTTTATCTAAAAAGCTGGTAAAAGCAAAGACCATCTCATATCCATAAATAAAAGACAATCACAAGTCCATTAATGTTTCCCTGAAGAACTGAAAGCTCTTGAACGTCTCGGTCATCAACAGTACTGTTTCCCTCTGTTTTATTTAACATGTATAACCTTTACTTTATGTTGCAGCAAAATATCACAGAGGAGGATGAGCAGGATCTTTATCTTGGGACAAATGACATCTTGCGTCCTGACCTGAAACAGATTGGAAATAGTCTCTTTGAAATCAAAAGTTACTTTATTGAGAAGGGTAACTAAGCCATTGTAAAACTTAGTAGATCATCGACGTAGACTATGGGAATTCCTTCAACAGTTGAAGCAAACCATAAAGCACGTAGCAATATCTTGCTCATGTTGATTGATACAGAAGCCATTTGCGAATGGGTTTTAATCATCTATTCTGATTAGCTAAGGCGTATTGCCCCTAAAAGCCTTCCATATTGCCTTTCAGCTACCCTATTACATCAGCTTCCATGTCATGTTTGCCCAAGTGAAGCATTTCTGTCCCTTTACAATTCCTTTGTGTTATACTCGTGTCGAAGCAGTGTCAAAAAATTGGCACAGGACTATCCTATGTTTAACGGACATGCTTCCATCGAGATGTATTATTTGATTAATTTTATTTTCCAGAAGGCCAGAATTTTGCGCCAAGAAGACTAAGGACCCCTTTAGCACAAGTGAAAGAACGACTCATCGAACACATAGAAAATCATGCATACGACTTTGTTTTTGAACCTCTCACCAATGAAGTGGTAGATTTTCCAAACCCAAAGGCTGGACCATGTTTTGTGTTCTTGTCCAATTCGTTATCAGTTGCGTTAGATTTCTGCACATCACCCCGACCAAGCAACATTGTATGTGATGTATTCCTGGCTCTGCCTACACAGTCTGTGATAGTTTTGTCACTGGTTGATGGGGATGAAGACTGTCCAGAAGCAGTGGCATACAGTATGTCAGTGGCGAGAGGAGTGATAGAGACACTTAGCAGGTTCACTGATGAGGATATCAACTCAATCCATGGAGTCATTCCCATTTCTCTCCTTGAGGACGCTGTTGGATTTAAGAATCGATTTAAGAAGCTGGCAAATGAGTCTTCTCATTTTGTCACAAACGATTCTTTGGTAATGACTCCCAGTAGGTATGTGAAAGTCCTGACTGCTTTCTGGGCTGGTGTTGCTGAAACGAAGTCGGTGCTAAAAGAAGAAAGTGGAGACACCGATGGCGACTATCTTAGATTTCTCACCAAAGAACAATGTATCATTCTGGTGGAGAACATAAACAGTAAGGACGTCGAGGTCAAGTATATGCCCGGTAGTGGAGCCACGACTCTGATGCTGGAGGTGGCTAGGAGACTGAACAGACTGGGGGACACTCTGCTTGTATGTAGGTCACGACAGGAGAGGGACAGGCTCAGGTTTGTTGATTTAGTCAGTGGATGTAGTTAGGTGTTATTGCCATTGTCAACATTGGTAGTCGTATCCAGTCACGAATTAACAAATGTTATAACCCAAAATATGAACATCGTAAGTGTGTCCTCAGGAAGAGCCTCTACTTTAATAGGCCTCAACATTTGAACGATTGCTTGAAACCTGTGCTTAAGTTGTGTACAAACCCTGTTTCAGGTCGGTGTACCCATCAGCTGTAGCAGCAGAGGATCTCAGTATGGTGGACATGTCTTCCTGTGTGAATATAGTCCATGAAACCAACACAGTCCTGGCACAAACAAGCGGACAACATTGGCGATTTACAACCTGTGAGTATATTTACATATTCGTAGAACTCTGAATAGACAGTGCTCGGTACTGGGTAATAAAATACAAAACTCTTTCTTTGTTACACACACTAACATGTCAGGTCATAAAGGATGTTTGTTCTGATAGATTCGGGAGAGAACGAGAACAAACAACACTGGGTTAGAATATCTACAGTAGTTCTTATGTACTGGTGATGCAAAACAATCATGTTGTATGGAACAATCATATTAGTTTGTTAAGACTTGGACTTTGTTCACTTCAGATCCAACTGCTGTCAAAGAACTGACGTCCCAAATATTGGAGGTAGAAATGGTAATGTACACTTCTGTAATAAGTTCCTGGAGTCAGGGTTTTGAGATGCTTCTTACTACATAACCAAATAAATGCATCGAAACATGTAATAGCATAATGTTTCTCAAATAAGTCCTCAGTTTGCCACCATATGGGGTTTGAATACATTTCCCCAAACTACCTATTGTAACAATAATTTTCAAAAAGATGAACCATATTAATTGAATACTGGTCTCATGAAGAGACTCGCCTTCATGATTTCTAGTCCACATACGCTAGCATTCCAACCAAACCAGACTTCAGTAGAAAAATTTCATCTCATTCCAATAATTTATTCGCTATCAGGAAAGGTTAAAATGGAAGATTAAAATGTTCCATCAATGTGAAGTTGTATTGTTCCAGATCTCGAGTGATTCATTATAAACAAAGCTTTCATTTATTCTATTTAAACAGGAAGTCGAAGGGATGGAGAAACAAATAGATGTATTATCTAACGGTAAGTGTTCATAATAAACCAGCTTTTGATGATGTGAATAACGGATCTTGTGCAAATAACAACCTCAATAAACATAATGGTAAGATTTTAGTAAAAATTATACATTCATGAGTTAGTGTAGGGTGATTATTATACTTCTATTTTTAACAATGTTACAGAATCTTGGAATGAACGGATCGAACACATCCTCAGGGACTTCAGTGTGCTGAAAATATTGAGTTTCAAACTGGGATCAACAGGACCGATGTCCTATGTAAGTTCCTTGAGGATTTTACTGACATTTGTTGATTTTGTTTAAAGTTCTATTCTACATATAACCATACGTTGTTTTGTTTACTGGTGTAATCTTAAGAAGTGGTGGGACCAAAATCCTGTCCATTTTGTCCATTTATAGAAACCTACCGTTATTTGTTACTTTACATTTACAACCTTGTTCAAAACATGGATATAATGCACACATATTACCAAAGATATGTCTGTGTGATAACGTATACCAAATAGTGATTGTGTATTTATTTCACTTTGACACGTTGTAGGCTCATGAAGTACGCCATACTCTGGAATACAAGCCAAGCCCCCTCACAGCAAGCAAAGTTCAGTATGAATGTGAGTAGTTGCGGTCAAATCTGGAACGATTATTTTAGATGAATGTGATAATTTGTTACTTATTTACTCTTATTCACTTCAGCTTTGGGTGATTTCAAGCAACTGTCTGCTACACAAGAGGCTTGGTTGTCAGACTTACATGACGGACTAAGACAGAGGAAAAATCTTGTCCCGCTTCTCAGATCGGTAAGAAATTGTAGAGAGCTTGTATATGAATCGCAAACAAAGTAGTGACTAACAATCAAGCCTGATGATGAAAGACCCAGTGTGAGTAATCTATGTATTTTGTTTCAGGTCATAATCCAAGATAAAACGGATCAGATCTGTCAAGACGTTAAAAATGTTCTCTTGAGAGAAGGTTTGTTGTGTTGGTAATAAGACAGATGATCACCATACGCCTCTAACACTCTGTAGCCAAATAAATACTGTCGGATTTGATAGTGTCCCTCCATCATTTCACCTGTCCAACTTCCATTCTTGACCATCGATCCAATGTATAGTGTCTCTTATAACACAGAAGCTTTGTCCAACCTTCATCTCTCCTTCAGTTCTCCATCCATGTTTCGGGGCGATTGGGTAGCCTTGTGGTTAAAGCGTTCGCTCATCACGCCGAAGACCCGGGTTCGATTTCCCACATGGGAACTATATGTGAAGCCTATTTTTTGTCTCCTGCCGTGATATTGCTGGAATATTGCTAAAAGCGGCATAAAACAAATCTCACTCACTCACACCAATCCATTTTTCTTCTCTTTATCCGCTCTCCAGCTACCGAATTCTGTGCCTCACTGCCATGCTAATCATCTCTCATTCTGCCTCCGTCATCTTCATGCACCTGCTCTTTATCTTTCCATTCACCATCTGTATCTAGTTATTTATCTACCTATTATATAGTGTACCAAAGGAAATGAAATGACAGTTCAGATATTGACATATTTCAAAGCAATGTGTAGTACAGCAGCTGTAGAACATTTTCACAATATCTGATTCTTAATTGTAGTTTCTGTTTGTTCTTTGATCTTCAGCTTTTGGGGATAACGAAACATACAGAATCGATACTAAACCGTTGCTATGGTAAGTGGTGACACATTGTAGCACTCTCGAGGTATTCTTATGATCAAATTATCAAATTATCTCGAGAATCGCTGTGCCAATATCATAAGGATTGAAGAAGTTGTAGTGATCAGTTCCATGGGAATGTCCGTTCACTTGATTCCATTTGTTACTTCAAGATCAAGGGAGGTAACTTGTCATTTCTATTCTAGGTTGGCCATGTTCAAAGTCCAGACATTCAACAACAAATAGGTAAGTTGCAGAAGTTGTGTTCGTGTTCTCTTAGTTTGGAGCAGGATTCAAAATGGATTTATCATGACTGCACGTTGTTCTCAATTCACCCTCTCTCAATCTTGAATGAAGTTAGTTTTAACAAAAGCTTTGTTTTTGTTTCTTCCAGAGATGTTCCACATTGAATCAGAGAATGCAGGAATGGAATCCCAAGTACGTACCTGACTAAAACCCTACCTTCCTAGTAGGGTTGCAGCCTAATTATCTGCTTTCTTATTTAATATTATGTTTTGATTGCTCCATATTTAGGAAAGATGTATGTTATCTTTAACTGAAGTCTGTCAAGATAAGAATAATAGAAAGCTGACATATCAACTAATACCATTGATTATAAAACCAGTCACAGATCACATAACTGTATACATTTCAGCAGGTATGGAAGGAAGGTGGCCAGATAAACGATATGGAAACTGAGATGCAGAACACAGATGGAAAAGATCCTGAGAGCCGTAAGTATCTATAAGTGTCCTGCAGGTTAGTTCTGCTTGTCCAGCAATTCATTGTGCAATAACAACTGTATCTAGTTTGAAGATGAAGTGCTGCAGGATGTTTCCTGTGCAGCAGGTTGCTTCCTATAATTTGTGTCTGCAAATTTCGGTACAGTAATTAGGTCGTTCACTATTGAAAGGTTACCCTGAACAGGTTTATTGTATCTTCTTTGAGAGGCATTTTAGAAGTTGTAAAGATGAAGGAAAACCAAGTTCTGTGGATAATCAACTTCTTTATTACAATAAATGCCACGTCGTCTCGGAGTAGATACTAACACCGTTACCAAACAAGTGATACACGGAGTTGAACCAATGAGAGAGTACACATAGCTGCATAGTGAGTATATACAATTGACAATCATGAGGTACATTACTGAGGATTACTAATTAGTGATTTGAGCAGAGCTGGTTGATATACAGAGTGATTGGTTGTGATGCAGATTGAGATACATATGCAGTGTGAGTTTATACAATTGATGAGGTAGATGTACACTGAGATGGTTTATCATACCTATAGTTGATGTTTGTTTGAACTTTGGCTGGGACGAGATACAAACACTTTAATCAAGAACTGGACAACGTACTGAAGGTAAAGACTCTTCTAACTGTTTATGCTTTCTTTATTTCTGTTCCTTCACATATAGTTATCCATCTCTATCTTATGTGCCTTTGGGTGTGTCTTCCATGTTCAGTTATCCACTCCTTCCTGTGTGTGTCTCCATTCCAGTTCTCTGTCTGCTGTGTTTGTGTTATCTTCCTTGTGCATTCAGTTGTCCATCTCTGTCTTGTGTGCTTGGTGTCTTCCATGTGCATTCAGTTGTCCATCTCTGTGTGTGTTGTGTCTTCATTCCAGTTGTCCATCTCAAGCTGTCTTGTGTGTGATTCCGGTTATCCGTCTCTGTGTGCGTTCAGTTGTCCGCTCTGTGTGTGTGTTTGTGCCTGGTTGATTGTGTCTTCCTTCCGGTTGTCCCATGTGTGTGTTTGTATCTTCCATTCCAGTTGTCCATCTCTGTCTGTGTGTGTTTGTCTGTGCCTTCAGTTGGCTCTGTGTGTGTGTGATCTTCTCTGTCCATTCCAGTTATCCATCTCTGTGTGCTGTGTCTGTGTGTCTTGTGTTGTCTGTGTCCATCTTCTGTGTGGTTGGCCGTTGTCTTCCTTCCATTCAGTTATCCATCTCCTTCTTGTGTGTGTGTGCCGTTGTCTTCCTTGATTCCAGTTATCCATCTCCTGTCTTGTGTGTTTCATGTCTGTGTGTGTCTTCACTTCTTGTTCAGTTATCCATCTCTGTCCTGTCTGTGTGTTTGTGTCTTCACTGTCAGTTGTCCATGCTCCGCTATCTTGTGTGTTGTCTTTCTGTGTGTGTCTTCCATGTGCGTTATCCATCTCCTGCTATCTGTGTGTGTGTCTTCGGTGTCCAGCTGTGCTGTGTCTGTCCGTTGTCCATCTCCTGCTATGGGGCAGTGGTCGTTCGTGTTGTCCAAGTTCCATGTGGCTGTCCATTGTGTGTGTCCGTCAGTCAGTCAGTCAGTCAGTCATCCTGTCTTCATTCCGTTATCCATCTTTGTGTCTTCCATTCCGGTGTCCATCTGTGTGTCCTTCTGTGTGGTTCTGTGTTTGTGGTTGTGTTCCATTCCTATGTCCTCACTGTCCCGTGCCTCCATGTGTTCCGTGTCTCCTTCTTGTGGCTGTCTCGGTCGGTCGGTGTCCTCCTTGTCCTGTTCCTGTCTTCCTGCCTCCATGCCTGTCTGCCTGCCTCCTTGTCTGTGTGCCTCTGTCTGCCTCCTGCCTGTGTGCTGCTGTCTGCCTCCATGCCTCTCTGTCTGCCTGCCTGCCTCTCTTCCTGCCTCCACCTCTCTGTCTGCCTGTCTGCCTCCTGTGTCCACTCTGTGCCTGCCTCACTGCCTCCACTGCCTTGTGTCTCTGCCTGCTGTCTGCCTCCACTGCCTCTCATGCCTCTGCCTCTGTCTGCCTCCATGCCTCTCTGTCTGCCTGCCTCACTTGTCCTCCACCCTCCCTCTGTCTGCTTTCCTCCCTGTCTCCCCCCCCCTGCCTCCCCACCTCTCATCTACCTACCTTTCTACCTCCCTCCTCCCCCTGCCTCCATACCTCTCTCATCTACCACTCACTTCCTCCTCCCTCCCCCCTGCCTCCCTACCTCTCTCATTCTACCTACTCTACTTTCCTCCCTCCCTCCCCTCCCCCTTGCCTCCCCCTACTTCTTTATCTACTCCACCTACCTCCCTCCTCCCCTGCCTCCCCACCACTTCCCATCTACCTACCTACCTACCTCCCTCCCCCCTGGCCTCCCTGCACCTCTCTATACCTACCTACTTACCTCCCCTCCCCTCACCCTGCCTCCCCTACCCTCTCTCATTCTACCTACATACTCATTCCCCTCCCTCTCCCCTGCCTCCCTACCCCCTCTATCTGCCCCACCTACTTTCCTCCTCCCTCCCCCTGCCTCCTACCTCTCTTCTCACCTACCTACTTACCTCCCTCCTCCCCCCTGCCTCCCTACCCTCCAGCCTACCATCACCTACTCTTCCTCCCTCCCTCCACCCTGCCTCCCCACTTCTCTATCTACCTTCCTACTTCACCTCCCCTGCCTCCCTACCTCTCTATCTACCTACGTACTTACCTCCCTCTCCCCTGCCTCCCTACCTCTTTCTACCCACCTACTTACCTCCCTCCCTCACTTCCCTGCCTCCCATTACCTCTGTATCTACCTACCGACCTACCGGCCCTCCCTCCACCCCTGCCTCCCTACCTCCCTCCCCGCCTACTTCTCACCTACTTCTTACCTCCTTCCTTCCCTTCCTCCTTCCCTCCCTCCTACCTCTCTTTCACCTACCCACTTACCTCCCCTCCTTAAACCCGCTGCCTTACATACCTACCTCCCTTCCTCTCTTACTACCTACCTACCTCCCCTACCTGTGTCATCCATGTACCTGGCTTATCTTTACCGTCTTGTTGTGCGTCGCCGCTTTTCTTTGCAGATCATCAGAGACGACGAGCAGCAACTCATGGAACTGAAAGCAAAACAATGGCTGTCTGGAAAAGGTAGATTTTCACAGTGCCACATTAAACATGTTGTTTGCTGGCCGAAATCAAAAGTTTATTATTTTGTTCTTATTGAAGTTTCCAATACAAAATGTATTCATATACTACTGAAAAGTTAAAGAACACCGTTTCTTTCACACGACTATAGTTTATCTGCATAAATTGTGGATAATGCAACCCACAGAACTCTAGGTGTCAGTGTTCTTTACTTGGTTGGTTGGTTGGTTAACGTCGCACTCAACAATATTACAGCTATTTGTCGGCCGTCTGTAAATAATCGAGTCTGGACCAGACAATTCAGTGATCAACGACATCATCGATCTCCGCAATCAATTGGGATACTATGGTATGCGTCAACTAAGTCAGAGAGCCTGACCAATTCGATCCGTTAGGTCGCCTTTTTACGGCAGCAAGCAGCGGGTAACTGAAGATCAATAATTTAACCTGGATCTTCACGGGGACAGTGTTCTTTAACTTTTTCTAGTAGTATATACCAATAAGTGAAGTGCTTTACTTTGTTCGGAAGGACAGAACTGCTGAAAAGGGAGTCGTGTACCAACGTGTGCAAAACACCGGTTGGGGGAGTATTTTGGTACAGTACCATGGCTAGTATTTCTAATGATCATAAAATGGAAGGCCTTCCTTTACGTATAGTTGCTTTTTTACCAAGGTGTAACCACCCTAGGGACTTACAGGAAAAATACTACCCCGTGTCCTCCTTCCCATTTAGGTAATAATGTATAATACACATTAAATAAAACATGTTCACGTGGGAGTATATAAGAAGACATTTACACATACATATTGATGTGTATTTTCTTTTGTCGTCTACATGTTCGTAGAAACGTCCGTGTGTACTAGATATTTCGATCTGTTGCAAACCACTACCAAACTGTTTTATGCATTGTATGTTGAAGTGTATACTTTAACATCACAGTTTTCTCTTGCTTTAAACTTGAAAGGGAAGGGTTTTTGATGTTAGTTATATTTGAAAGGGATTCAAATAGAAACACACACACACACACACATGCACACACACACACCACACCACACACACTCTTTTACTTATGATATAATCAGAAGGGTATAACAGACACTGCTTTTAGTAGAGATTTGCTTTGGTTATGGTTAGGTTTTGTTGCTTTGCAGGGGACAAGACAAAATATTTTTGAGACAATATAATGAATGATTTGCTGGGGAATAAAAAATCATCTATATTATGTTATATCGTGACTATTATCCGTGAAGTCCCAAAACAAATTCTATATACGTCCATTGGCAAACAATGCAAAATTTTTCATACCAGACACTACCTAAATATTTTCAGACATTTGACTCTCACCTTTCAGATTATGGAAGCAGTGTACACGTTGTTGGACTGCCGCGTCGACCTCTTCTGGTTTCATGTAAGTATTTCCGAGAACAAGTGATGGGATGACTGAACGATTGTCGATTATTCACTGTATTTGGAATATTGTTGACGAACGCAAAATGCCACGTCTAAGTGAAGGCAACCGTCATATCGCCATTGGTTTTCTTGAAGCTGGCCAGTCCGACGCATGAATGTTCACCAAAGCACCATTTCACGGCTCTGGGAGAGATATCGCCGGCAGAATGAGGTAGCAGATGCCCTTCGTAGTGGGCGACCTCGAGCGACCACTGCGGCGCAGGATCGCTACATCCGGGTACATCACCTGCGTCATCGAACAGCTACGGCGACCAGGACCGCTCGACAAATAGCCGGATTGACGAGGCTTTCTGCACAGACCGTCAGGAACAGGTTGAGACAGGCTGGTTTACGTGCCAGAAGACCTTCGTTTGGCCCTGTGCTTCGACAATAACATCGTCGACATCGAGTTCAATGGTGCACCAAGCTGGAACCTACCGAAT